GAGGAGGGCGAGCGGTGCGGCCGCGCCGCGGGCAACGCCAGCTTCAGCAAGCGCATCCAGAAGAGCATCTCGCAGAAGAAGGTCAAGATCGAGCTGGACAAGAGCGTGAGTGCTGCTCGGGAAACCCGCCCGGCCGCGCAGCCGCCTCCCCGCGGGAAACTTCACAAAATTGGTTAATTCGTTTGTTTCGGAGCGCGCGCGCGCGCGGCCCGGCCGCGAGACAAAGGGGGCTGGGGGGGGCGCCGGCACGGCCCGGTTCGGCACGGCCCGGCCCGGCCCGGCCCGCGCTGAGCGGCGCCCTGTGCCCCCCCCCCCCCCCAGGCCAGGCACCTCTACATCTGCGACTTCCACAAGAGCCTCATCCAGAGCGTGAGGAACCGCCGAAAGCGGAAAGGCAGCGACGACGACGGCGACTCGCCCGTGCAGGACATGGACGCCCCGGAGGTAGCGAGGCGGCCCTGCCGTGCGCGGGGACGGGAGGCCTCGGGGACGGGCCGGCCGGGATCTGTGCAGCCCTCACTGCAGCGGTCCTGCAGGCTGCAATGAGCAAGCCTCGTACTTGCTTTATGCCTCGTGGTTTTTCTCAGAAAACTGTCGCTTTCACGGTTTTCCTGGGCACTGCCTTTCTGGACTTCCATGTGGGAAGCATCAGCTCTGCTAGTAGCAAAATCCCCCTGCTGCCAGGGCTGGCGATTTAAGGGAGTTGCATGTAGGACTTGGCGGGTAAACACTCCTCTGTTCCCATTCCCCTGGCCGTGCCTTGCTGTGTGGAGATGTGCTGCAGAGCAGCTCTCGCGGCTGTTCGGTTGCTGCACTCTAATCCCCAGGTTTAACAGGGGAAGCTCCTCGTTTTTCATCCCTCAGCATCAGGCAGGAAGGCAGCGGAGGAGGGAGGGCCCTTTCCTCTGTCTTCCCCTGCAGACCTGGAAAATGCTGTTACCCACCGGGAGAGTGAACTGCAGCTTTTGAACCCTTTTTCATAGTGTGGTGGGAGAGAAAGCGCCAGATTTCTGAGAACGATGCCCTGACCTTCCCTACGCCCCCATTGGACTGTCTCTGCTGCAGCCTGGCTTAGCAGGGGCGCTCAGTGCGATACTCCTGTGCAAAGGCTGTGATTCCTGCCCAATTCCTCTAGGAGGGATTTGCAGGATGTTTCCAATATTGCTTATGGAGCACTAAGTTGATGGCTTCCCTTTAGCCACAGTTTGCAGATATCAGCACCATAAATGATAAAACTTTGTTCAAGAACGCCCACAGCTCCACTCTGACAGAGAGGATCTGAGCGGATTGGGAATGGCTTGATGCTAGTTGTGCTTTGGTCTGCTGAGTACCTTGGGTGGCCCCTCTGAAAGCTCTGGCTGTATCTAAATGTGCCGTGTGGCTTAAGGCAGCTGCCTGGCGCGGGGGGCACTGCCACCCTTCAGCAGGCCTGGCTTGCTTTGCAGTGCAGGAATGCTGAAGTGTGGCCCAGCTGAGGGGTGTTTCCAGAGAAAAAGAGGAGGCTTCTTAACTGTCCTGCTGCGAGCAAGACAACAGGCTGGGAACATTGCAGCCCGCTGTTTGGGTCTCCTTCCCACTGAGTGCCGTGGAGCCCAGAATCGCAGAAAATCTGGAGCTTGAGGTGACCTGGAGGTATCTGCCAGGCCCCCTGCTCGGGGCCCTGGTAGAGCAGGTTACCTGGGGTCTTGTCCGGGTGGGTTTTGAGCATCTCCAAGGATGCAGCCTGCACAGCCTCTCAGTTTCAGTGCTCAGCCACCCCTGTAGTAAAAAAGTGTTTTCCTAGGTTCAGATGGGACTTCTTGTGTTTCATTTTGTGCCCGTGGCCGATATCCTGTCCCTGGGGCACCACTGAGAAGGTTCCAGCCTTTACACCCTTCTAGGATACTCATGCACATGGATAGTTCCCTGCAAACTTTCCCTTGTCCAGGGTTAGCAGTTCCAGATCTTCCAGCCTGTCCTTATGCAGGGTTGCCGCCAATCCGCTAACTGTACTTGTGGCCCTGTGATACCTATAGGCTTTTGACCTTCAGTGTTTTCACTTACTATTACCTTTATTAAACAAGGAGAAATCCCTCTGACTACCTTTGGAGTCCTCAGGTCCCCTCCTTAGTCTAGACCATTACTCGCTGTTGGAAATGATGCCTGCAGACAGGAGAGCTGCTACGGTGCTGCTGCCTCCTGGGGCTTTGCAGGGAGCTCCTGCTCCTCCTCCGTGTCATTCCCTAGGGCACTGGCTCACCTGGCAAGCTGAATTTATGGCATGTAGAATTTGGAATTCCAGAGGATATGCATCCCCTGTTGCATAACGTGGTGTGCATCAGCTCTGGCCAGTTTGCCAAGTGCATGGTAGCCCTGTGCTTAATCTGTACATGAGGTTGCTGACGGAAATTAGAGTGAATTCCATAATGGATCTTTAACCGTCTGGTTTACTACGGTCGTGGCAAGCGGTCTCACAGAATTTCTCATGCAGCCTATCTGCTTTTTTCCTGCTCGGTGTTTTGGTTAAGCTCCCTGTTGACGTTGCCAAGGAAGGTGGCAGGATAAGGTGTTGCTGGGAGATGTGACAAGTCAGAGTTTTTGGGATTTGGAACTGAGGGAGTACTGGGTTAAGGCTGCATATTTATATCCGTAAGAGGAGCCTGTGCAATTCTCTCCACTGTCAGCTCGTGCTGAAAAATGGTTCTGGGCAACTATGCCTATGCACATAACTCCTACATTGTGCTTATGTAGCAGCAATATGTTTGGAGACTGAGAACAGCTGTTTTCTTCTCGCAGCTCAAGCCAAGAAAACTTTGCACTCTAGACTTTTTCTTGGTTCCAATATATGCTGTTTTATGGTGCAGCATAGCTGCACCATGCTGCACCAGCTATGCTGTACGTTTATGGAATTTCTGTAAAACATGATGGCTGAAATTGTAATTTAGGGACTACCTGTGAACCAGCTTGTCACAGATAGAACATGAAAGTTAAGTGGCTTTAATTATGTTCAAACTGGGGAACAAGTGAAAAACACAGATTAAAGTACAGTAAAAATCTCAGATATTATCGCTGTAAAAGGGGAAAAAGGGCCGTGCTGGGTAAAATAGTCTTGAACTGAACTCGGGTGTTTTGCGTCCTTCTGGCGGGTGCAGGGTGGAGGTTTTCTCAAAATGGAATCTCTTCAGTTGACAGTCTAAATTTGTTCATTTATTTTGTGAGATTCCCATACTCTGTGGAGACTCAAGCTATTAAAAAATGAATCTTAACAAATGAATTCATGAATTGGGTGACTTTCTTCCTCTTTCCCCCATGTTTTCTAGGTTGATTTATATCAGTTACAAGTAAACACACTTCGAAGGTACAAAAGACACTTCAAGCTACAGACCAGACCAGGACTTAACAAAGCACAGCTCGTTGAAGTACGTATGGAGGTTTGTTGCATAGCAGGAAAGGCAGCTTTCAGGGACGGGTGGCTTTCTGGACAGTGGGATCCTTGCGTGAAGAGCAGAGGCAATTTGGGATTGGGGAGGACACAAGGGAGCTGTTCATGTGGCTTCCTTCATTGCTCACCATTTCAGCTAGATAAGTCACAAGAAAAAGTCCCCTCCAGAGGAGGAGCCTTAGCTTCAAGGAGTGTGTGCTGCTTCAAACAAACAAAAAATGTGGAATTGGAATCATGAGATGAGTTGTTGCATGTCTCTGAATATCATAGAAACGTGGAGTGTCTGCACATGAGTCTCACGTTCACCTTAGATGGTCTATCAAAAACAGTTAGAGTGAGGTAGTAGTGAAATTCCAGTAGGACAGAGGCTTGACTTTAAAAGCCAGTTAATGCAAACATTTCTCTATAGAGAAAAATATGGAAAAAAACTTAAACAGATTTCTTTATTACGTTAGTGTTTAATTGGTAAAATTAAATCTGTTATCAGAAAACAGAAGTTCATGAATTAAGTTTTTCATCAATTTGTTTTTTTTAGAAGTATTTAAGTAGAGGAAGCACTTCCTCTACTGAGTGTGAGTGCAGTTTTTAAGGGATCCTTCTGCACTCTGTAAGTGCAGTTTACAGGATGCTAATGTAAATATGTGGGAGAACTGGCAGTTCTCCTTTAAAATAACAACTGTATTTCCCTGTTCCCACTTTCGGGTCGTGATGCACTCGGTTGTGCTTCTGTGCAGACATTTATTTCGTCTGGCCACTAATCAGTGTGAAATAAGGCCAAGAATCTTAGAAGGCCTGCTGAATTCCCAGTTATCCTAAGCACTTATGTGCCCTGTGAGAGTTAGATGAGCTGTCCTGTTTCCTCACTTTCTGTTGCTAATCTTGATCTACCAAAGAAGAAATCTGCTTTCTTAAAATTAGCAGTCCATTCTGAAACTTCCCGAATCACAGCAGTGACTCGGGAGCTGTTCAGAGACTGTAGCTGTTGCATCACACAAGTTTTGTTTTGCTTTTTTATCATTGGCAGCTCTGGCATGAAGAGCTAAATGTTCAGTAATAAATCCTGAAGCTTTCTACATAGGGTCGTCCTGGCTTCTAAACACGGCTCCACACAGACCCCTCAAACTGAGTAGTGAGCAGTAGCCCCTCATTTCTATACTGTGATTCTAATCATATTCTCTGGTAACTACTAGAGAATGTACAGGAGAACATGAGCTCTTATTCTCTGCTGCTCATTTGTTTCGTATCTGAGCTTTGCCTACATATATTTAATGACAGCCCTATCTTTGCCTTGAAACTTTCTGAAAATTTCCAGGGGTTTTTAGTTGAGAAACTAGGGTACAATTTGGTATATTTGGCTCGTAGGTGTCAGTAAAAAGTTCCTGTTCTATCTTTTGTGTAACACTTAAAAGTTATTGGGGTATATGTGTGCTTTTTTTTTTCTCTCCCTGATGAACGTTTTAAAACTTCTGCAATGTGATTTAAATCTGAATCTTCAGCATGTAAAAGTGGTTATTTAATTTCCTTGCATTCTTCCTTTATAGATAATTGGCTGCCATTTTAGGACAATTCCAGTGAATGAAAAGGACACCTTAACATATTTCATCTACTCGGTGAAGAATGACAAGAACAAATCAGATCTAAAGATGGATAGTGGGGTTCATTAGTCTGAAAAGGTTGGGACTGAGACTTGGGCTCCAGATCAAAAGACTGAGGGTTTTTGTTGATATGCAAAAGCTTTCTTTGTACCTTTTTCTCCCAGAGAACTGTCTCTTATTTTTCATAATCTTGATGATTTATTTGAAAGCCACCTCCCCTGAAACAATTTCCTCAGCAAAAGTATTTTAAATAAATATCACTGATATTGTTGCTCAACTGGGTGTGTCTAACTTTTTCAGTGAGTTACTTGTAACTAATAGCAAAGCTCTGACTCCTTATGTAATGATGTTAAAATATTTTTCAATTAAAGTATGCCAAGGATACTTTTATGAATGTATTTAGTCTCATGGTGCAGTGCTGCATTAAAAAGGAAGCTGTGGCAGGGTTGGCAGTAGATTCCCAGCTCTCCAAGGTAAGGCTGGCTGTAAGCAGTGGTTCCCCTTGCTAGCTGTGCAAAAATGGCTGAATATTCCTTTTTTTTATATATATATATTTTTTTTCTTATTCCGCTTTGGAAGAAAGATTTAATGGGAGCTTTTCTGACTTGTTTGTTCTATCTAATATATGGCATCTAATGTATTCTATTTATTTTATCTTGTTGGGACCTGTGCTTCCAGACATTGAGGCCTTCCTGCTCTTTATTTTGAAAGAAAAAAAATACAGCTCCTGGAATTTCAAGATACAAGTGTGAGTTAAAAGCAGGATACTGTGCAGAGAGAGCCCTCCACCGAGGAGGAAATACAGCAGTTGCCAACTGACTTGTGTTCATCTGCATTGGCCGTTGCTAAGACCACATCTTGGTGAAACCTGCAGTGTGGGTGAGGCTGTTGTGTGTGAGTCCTTGTGTTTTCACTGACAACTGTTGTTGCTGTCTGAGTGTGCGGTGTCTGCAGGGATTTTGCTTGCCCCCCTTGGCTCCAAGCTGTGCACACAGGTTGGCAGGGAGAGGAGGGAAGGACGCAGCTTCAGCGTGCTCGGCTGGCAAATGTTACACCTAGGCTTATCAGAAGGTGCTTAGAAGGTGGTGGTGTTTTTTTTTCTTAATGTGGAGAAACTAGGAAGGTGGTGTTTTTATATTCTCATTTGCTAGATGTTAATCTTACACCTCTTGAGAACTACTCGGGGATAACACTGAGGTGCTGGGTTTTTGTTTCTGTGCCCGTTGTACTCTTGCTCAGGACTGCACGATGAGGAACCCCAGACTCAAAGGGGCTGCCTTCCCAGCAGCTATCCATGGCCTAACTTCTTACACTTGCAGCGTCTCATGTAATTCCACGTTGAAGTTCTGTGCTGCTGGCCTCAGTTCAAGCCAGTTAACGATACCTGGCTAGTGGGAGCTAAAACTGATACTCCTTTGAGGAAACCTTTTGGTTTCCATTTCATCATGGTGACTGTAAAGCTCTCTGAAGATGACAAACTGGGCTAGATACAGGAGCAGCCCGGGAACCCGGCAATGAATGGGATGTCCAAAAGAGAAAGGCCTTTCCCTGGGCCGAGCGCGTGGCAGGGATGGATGCTCTCAACTCGGCACTGCAGGACCTGAAGAAGCAGCCTTGGAGACAGGGAGAAACAAAAGCAAAAGCTTCTGCAGGAAATACGGTTTAAAATAGCAGCCGTGCTGATCCAATCCTGCATGTGAAAACTGGCACTTTTTTTCCTGTGGGTGATGGATTTTCCCTAAACAGTAATAGTAGAAAGGAAGTAGTTGAAAACTGCCTAATAACTTCACTACCCCATTGGGCTCCTGCCCTCATCTTTGCTACTTGTGCTCTGGGAAGAGGTGAGCGGCAGAGGCACATGCACAGGGTGAGTCATGTAGAAACTCCATGGCAGGGCCAGCAAAAGCTGCAGGCCCTGATGACTGCCAGAAGCTGCGAGGGGACTTTCCACAAAAGTGGATAGCATGTGCTCTCTTACAGCCCCAACTTTGGGTATTTTGACTGTTGGCTGCCAGATTTCCACCCCCCAGCCTGCAGCTGGATTTTAATTTTTTTGGTAGGAAGCCTGAATGACTCAGGAATAATTACACAAACTAGGCTTTAAAAAGCTCGGAGGCACAAACGGTTTAACAGAGAGTCACCCCAAAATTACATGGTAAAAATAGTACACATGGATTCACTTGAAACATTTATTATTAGTCATGTATGATCAAAACAAAACCCACTGTCCCGCCCTCATTTGCCAAAAGATGAAAAACAGTCCTTGTGATGTTTCATACTCTCTGTGAAGTAAAACTCTGGTAAATTAGTAGTAGCAGTACTCAGGGGTTGTGGTTGTAAGATTTAGATGCATAATGCTTTACACTGAGAAAGAAAGACTAGAAGTAGTCAAAATATTGGTGAAAGAGTAAAACTGGTGTAAATAATTTCATCAGTATTACATGTTTTCCATGGGAATTGGCAGCTCAAGATTTTTTGTATATTAGGCATAAGGTAGCTTGCTCTTTGCGAGTCTGGTGTGTTCAGGTGGCTTTTGTTAACTTGCATACGAAAGTTGGTGCCTGTTTTCCTTGCCTTGTCCTCAGTGTTGGCAAATGTTGAGAGGTAACCGCATGTCTGCAGGCTGGACTATGGTGATTCTTAATGCTTAGGGTGACTTTTAAAAGATTTTTAGTTACCTTCTTGTCTTCTTATTGCTAGCTCTATCGCTACGAGACTACATCAAACACAAAGCCAGTGTTTTAATTCTCAGGTGCTGTATTGCAAACAAAGCTTGATCCAAATGCATCTAAAGTGGTGGGGATTTTTTGTGTTTGTTTATTCTTTGTTTAATATCGACTTACCAGACCTTGCATCAGTCCTACCCTCTTCAGAACGTGTATGCTCTAGCAGCTCTCCCGGTAGGAGAGCCGTGTTAAGTTTAACCATTTTAACTAAGATCTTATACATTTTCTTGTTATGCAGGTGACCAGTTAGACATAGTTATGACCTGGGTATGCTCCAGTTGCTGTCAGCTGGAGCCTTGCCTTATTTTTCCAGTGGAACTTTCAAAATACAATTGGTGTAAGTTGCCTTTTTCTGCNCCCCCCCCCTAAAAGATGCTTAAATAGAACATAAGTAGCTACCTACAGAAGTGCCAGGTATCAAGTAACTTCAGCTTAAAACAACATTGACCGTGCAACAGCAACAAAGCAACAGGAAACAGCATTAAGGAAGGCTGGTACAAGGAGTCACGTTATTAAGCACATTAAGGTTGCTGCAAGGGTCACTTTCCTAACCACATTAAATATTCAGCTTGAAGTTCCTGTGTCACAACTGCCTGGGAATGTGGTTCTTATTTAAAAAGAGATGGGCTTTTTGCTGGGAGAAGTTTATCAGGACAATGATGAGCCTTGTACCAAGTTGCAAAGTAGTATGGAAATTAAGGACGCCAGCAAGTTTGAAAGGAAAACTCTACCACTTGTATTTTTAAGATTCCTTAAAGATATAGGAAAGATTTTTTTTTTTTTTTTTTAACGGTGTAAGAAGAGGCACTCATAGCGGTTAGAGAGGAAGCGTTTGTTACTGCTGTTTCTTCGTTTTTTCTTTTAAAGCACTGCTCAGAAATGGAAGGCTGACGTGCCTGACGTCTTCACTGGGGGATTGGTGTCAGTCACTGTTGCAGGGGATCAGAAAGGAGATCTTTGGTCCAAAGAAAATATTTCTGAAAGACATGAGCGGATATTTAAGTAATTAGCTTATTATTTTATCAGAGTTTTAATAGGACAAACGTTTGCAATTGCTGTCTTTTGGGGAGGTGAGGAGAAGGTAGTGGGGTGTTTTTTATTGGTTTGTGGGGTTTTTTTTGGTAGGGTGTATGTGAGATTATTGTGTCTGCAGGAAATTCTTTCAGTAGGTCAGATGCAACTCCTGGTCTGTATGAAGATACTGATGATATGTATCATATTATGATATGTGTACCTGCTTCTGCTCTGGAAGTGTCAGCAAAACTTTCAGCGACCGACTTGTGTATCGGGACCTTACCTCTGGAAATTTTATTTTGAGAAGGTAAATCTATCAAATATGTGATAGCACCAAAAAAAAAAAGTGGTATGTGCAAGCATAGTTTAATGCAGTTGTTGCTGGGATGATCTACTATGTCAGCCTTCTGTGCCTCTAGATGAGTGAAGGTCTTTGCATCAGAATAAGAGGATTTCAGTGAGTGTTTAAAGCTCAGAGGCTGACTGCTGGAAGCCAGAGTGTGACTCAAGGTGAGGTCACCGCATACAGCTTAGGGAAGAAAGAAACAGGAAAAAGTATTTAAAACGTGTTCTCAGCTTAAATATGGCTTTCCAAAATGATGTCAAAAATAATTTTTAACTTTAGTATTTGTTCCTGCTTCATTTGAATCCAGTGTCCTGGCCTCTTAGTCCTCGTTGAGCACTGAAAAGTCACCTTTTATTATGTTTTAGGGGAGCTGAGAAGCTTGGGTGGTAAGAGGGGGTGTTAATGTTTCATGGCCACTATCACTTGCTGGCATTATATAGGTAAGCAAAATTCACTACTTGTGCTTCTGAAGTGTTGTATTGATATTTTAATCTAAATTTCCTGAGGAAAATATTTGGCTGAAAAGCTGAACGAGATGATACCTCATAGTGTATTTAATTATTTCAAGCCAGTAAGTCATAGGGTGCCAGTGTTTATTAACTCAGCTCTGAACGTGTTGAAACATACGTTCTTTCTCTAAAGCCACAAAACCCACATTCCACCAAAATTCCTCTCTCCTGCTCCGTCAGCGCAGTGCCAGCAAGGCGGGCGAGTGTCAGTGGTTCCCGGGCTAAGTCTTCCCTCTCTTGCAGGCATTTTCTGGACTTATTTCTTTCCCTTCTTTTCCCCTCAACCCATTTTCTTTCCTATCTAAAACCGCTTTCTTCACAGAATTGTTTATTCAACCAGCATGTCTGCTGATTGCCTTAGAATAGCAAAATCCCTCTTTATTGTGTAGCAGAAACCTGAAGAGACGGAGGCTCGTGGAAACAGCTAACTTGCCAAGTGCTGCCCAGAAGGAATATTGTAGATCTAACATTTGGTGTAGAGCAGTTATCGACAGCAGATAAAAGTTGAGTGATCTCGATATTTTCCTTTAATAGGACATGTAGACTTCAAGTATGCTAAGCAAGTACTAGGTGAGCCGCCAAAAACCCGAACATTTAAAAACTGGCTGTAACTTGATATAATCCCAAACCTCCTGAAATGATTAATCTCTTTAAAATGCCCCCTCATCCCTCAGGTGCTAACTGTGCAGCAATGGTGTTACGTGGGGCTTGCCCGGTGTGAGCAGGAGGAGCAAAGCAGTCTTACTTTGGGCAGCAGAGCAACTCGCTCGGGCTGCAGTAGCAGATGGTGTCGCAGCCCTTCCCTTCCCAGAAGTGATCCTGCAGGCTCTCATGGACCGGTCGGAGAGCGGCCACGGCTTGGGGGACGCCGTGGCAGCCGTGGCCCCCGAGGGCCCTCTTGGAGCAGGAGAGGCGAGGGGCCGGCGCGGCGCGGGCGCCCGCCAGCGCGCTCAGCAGCAGCAGCAGCGGCGGCAGGGCCAACACCACCTTCATGCTCACCGGGATCCCCGCTCAGGAGCGCTGAAGAGAAATGAGGAGTATGAGCAAATGAGCATAGCTCTCCAACAGATCCATTCTCCCAATTAACTTCCATGAGTACCTTCTTTCCTGCAAACTTCTGGAGGCTTGAGACTATGTTGAGTCCTCCTACTCAGGAACCCTTAGGAGAGGATTTCCTCCTAGGAGGTAAATATCATCACCGAGTTCATATTCATTGCTTTCTATACCAACCTCTTCCTTTTCTTGGGAACTGAGGCTTCTGTTGCCGGCAATTTTCATGTTTGTTTGGCCTCTCACCTTGAGAGAATTGCTTTGAGCTAGCCGTGTTGTCCCCGCAGTGTAAAGGAATGTGTTAAATGCCACCAAAGCAGGCAAAATGCTCCGATGTTTCATTACCTTCCTGGTGATTCATGCTCTTGAAACAAGAGCGGCTCACATAAAGATTAGTAATATCTTTCCCCTTAAAACTTATGGGAAAATGATTGTGAACTTGTACTTGAACTTGTGATTGATTTTTTCAAGTTTCTTGGAGTTTGGAGCACAGCAAAGGAAGTTGCTCTTCATCCCACTGGCACTATGGAGTTGATTCCACATTAGGGGCTGGTTTCTGCCCTTTCCTGGGAGGCTGCAGAACAGACTATTCTAGATTAACCTGAAAATAACAAGGAATAAAGCAGTGTCCCACCAATGACTGTCAGGTGCAGAGATTAGACAGTTTGTCTGCTGTCTAGAACAAAACTCAGGCATCCTTGATGTAGAAATCATTATGCCTGTATACAGAGTCTCACTTGTATTATTTGGTAAAACTCTTGAGTTTTACCCTTCACCCTTGACAAACACACAAGAAGCTATTAAATGTATAAATTTACTATATGCTGTAATAATTTTTTTTCCATAGGTAGTTACATCACCAGCATACCTATCTTGCTGATCTTCTACTTCTTCAGCCAATGAATGAAAATACAGGGATTATAACTAAGGAAACCTAGTAATTTGGATTTATATAATGAATAAAATACTACACCTGGATGCCTTTTTGGTTATATTTTCCTAAGTTCTTGTGCAGAGTTGTGTTTTAGAACACAGGTAGCCAAGTAAAATATTAAAGTGTCTAATGTATTAAGGAATATGACTAAAATAAAAATAAGGTCTTGTGTCTTTTCTAACTTCTGTCATAGAGGCAATATTCATTGAATGATTTCTTCTAGTTTCCATGAACTTGTGTGTGAGCTTTTGAGTAGGAGAGTCCTATAAACTACTGCTAATGGAGCCTTGGGGATCTATTTTTTAATTACTTTAGAGTGCAGTATTAAATAACATACTGTCTTTATTAGTTTTAGACCTCAAAACTACTTCTCAAATAAAGTAAACATTGTTCTAACTTTGCCCAATGTTGTTTTTTAGACTCAAGTAAAGGATCGGTATTATTATAATAATGGTTTTATTTTGTAGGATTGTAAACACCGTACAGTTATGAGGATTTTGCTCCAAAAAGTCTAATGCCCAGAGAGAACAGGTTTGTATATGCTATACCTAGCTGAATGCCAATGCCAAGCATATTTTTTTTCAATGTATTTTCAGGAAATTGAATAAATTATTTAATCCTTCATGGAAGAAGAGTTCTATGAAAGTTAAATTTATGGAGTGAGGTTTTCATGCCTTTGCAGGATAGAGGTGTCCATGATATCTTTTCCTTGTGTGTATTTGGTATTTCTAATAGTTTGGATGAGCTTTCTTTAGTCGGAGTTAGCTGGGATGCTAATCTGAATCTGTTGCCATCTGCCTATCTTCTCAGTGTGATCACAGGAACATGTTCTGTTGTGAAAATAGTCAGATTTTATCTGTAGGCTGTCAAAGTCACAGCATGTATAAATCTATAGTTTAAAGCAATTCACTGTTTGCCTTAGTTATTACTGCAGTGCAACCTCAAGAGGTTTGACGTGGATAACACACAGCCCCAGCATTAACAAGGCAAGTTCTGAGCGATGGGCAGGTCACCAGATGGATACCAACAGGTCAGTTACTTGTTCAATAGTGCTGGTATTCAGAACACTATTTATTGTTTTCTTTCTACTTAAATATTTCTCTTTTTGGCCTGCAGATGCTAACTTAAAGGAAACTTGTGGTCAAAGACCTTTTCACAAAGTCGTCATTCTACTGCAAGAAAAGGATGCCCATTGGCAGATGAAAGATTCCCCAGGAGCTCAAATGTTGTTATCACTGATCCTGTGCAGGCAGTTTATGAACTGTGCAGCCCTTCCAGACATGGCATACCCCTTCTGGCAAACTGCTGTGATTCCTTTTCCTGAGTATGACTTCACAGGTGGTGGGATGTTACTGAATGCATAGGTAAATAACAGAGTGAGTAAATGCGTGCTTATTTAAATGCATTAAAACTATAAAACTGTAAAAGACACTATGTGCTTTCATGCAACACAGAAAAAAACTCTTTTCTTGAGGAGCAAACCAGAAAAACTTGATGGAAAAAAAATCCACTAAAATAACTCAAAGGATTATTGCCAGGAAATGCGCTCTGTCATTCGTTAATTTTTTTAAAAGCTTTCTGGTGAGGTAGCAATCTAGCTTAACCAGGCTTGATCAAGACTGTACTGTTTCAAACTCTAACAGGAATAAAGCAATCTAAAAATATCTAAAAGAAACCTCCAGCATTTGCATAAGGCCTTTTTGGTGGATTACCTGGTTAGTTTGACATGGTACAAATGAAGTTCTGAGAACAAGTTCAGCTAGGAAAAATTAATGCTTTGAAACCCGAGTTGTGCCCAAAGGAACCCAGGTAGCTGCAGGATATGCCCTGCTGTGTCAGCAATCACTGCCACCCCTGTTCGTTCAGCTGAGAGTTTTTGAATTGTTCTGCCAGGCGATTTGGCACCGTGTAGTCTTTGGATCTGCTAGATGCAAGGGAGGTCCGAAAAGGACCAAAAAGAAAACTGGAAAACCCAAGTTTCAGCCTCCAAAGCCAAGAACAACAGGGCAGCATTTCTCGAGTAGCACTCTTTAAAGGTCAAAAGATATCGGTAGCATCTCAGGTGTTAGAAGAAACAGAGAAAACAGTAAGAAATAACAGTGTATATTTTGGCATTTGTAGAGATTCTGCTTCTTTGGGAAGGAAAAGATAAATGTTTACAACTCGGCTTATCATTCATTAAACATACAATTTAGTGTTATTAAGCAATCTGTGTACTTCCAGTTGCCTATGCTTGAAAGCAAAGAATACTTTGCTCTAATTGATATCCTTTCAGGGTATGGCCTTTTCCAATCAGTTCAGTGACATGTGCTGTGTAAACAAGCTGGCTAATTACACTTAAAGAGGTGAAACAAACTTCATATATTTTTATTTTCTAAATGTGTATTGAGTTAAAAATATCTATTCAACATAGAATGCTTTTTCATCACTTATTATTCATATGTCAAGCTTTCATTTCAGGAACACCTGTAAAAAAGCTGAGCTAAACTCTTAACTATTTAGATGTGTTGGTGCATTATAGTTACTTTTTATTAATGTATTCATAAGGAATGATTGCACGAGGGCTGCATAATTGTGATATTACGAAGAAGGGGTTTCTTTGCATTTAAAAAAAAATGCTTCAAATCTGTTTTGCTTGAACAGTTGGTGCATTGTAAGGACAGCAGCTATTGCAGTGAGGATGCATTCCGTGAATTACTGCTTTGTAATTACTATCAATACTATGATTCTTTCCAGGATTTGAGTTCTCATTAAAACCCACTTAATTTTCTTAAAGACAGTAAGTCATTGTGAACACACCTCTCCCCGCACTCATCCCATTTCACAATAATGCTGAGTGCAGGGAAGTTATACAGCATGTTTAATGATCAAGAGCTCTAACACCAACTTTGTGAAGAGTGAGATAGTGAAAGACTCATTTGGCTGGATTGTATCCACACGTCTGTCTTGTATAACATCTTCTGCCTACGATGCATCTGCTTCTCCCGAACAGCCTCCTGCACGTTCCCACATGTATTTGTCAGTCTCTCCTCTGTAGCTAGCATGAGAAGAACAAGTGCACAAGGACAATTTTAGGAGCAAGACGTACCTTTCTCTCCGGCTCGGCTCGCTTTCTTGGGAGATGCCTCTCTAGAGGTGCTCAGGGATTGCTGAGGCTGGAGGAGATGAGAAGAGGGAGGGCTGAGGGGAGATGCTGCACAGACACCCCTTTGTTTGCCCTGACTTCTGCGGGTGATGGACGTGCTCCCTCCTCCAGCGAGGGGCCGGGGATGGGCTGCAAGAACTGCCCCTTTCCCTCACGGCCAGCCTAGACAGGGGACAGGAAAGATCTGATCCTTTCCATCAGAAAGTGATGAGTCCACCCAGCACTCGAGAGAAGGTAGCTCATCAGAGCAAAGCACTGAGCACAGAAATAGAGGGCATGAAAACACCCCTTGTGGGATTATTCCTTACTGTGGAGTGGAGAAAGGACTTTGGGAGGACAGCAGCAAGGAGTCAGGCTGCCAGGAGGATGTAGCTGTTGGACAAATGTGTTATTTTGCATTGAGCAGGAAGAAGCGACTTAACCAACGAGCTCCTGCAGTACTTGAATCCCTGACTTTGGGCATCTAGTTCGTTTTTTGAACCTGAAATAATCAACAAAAGGTAACTATTTAACCAGACCCCTGGTACAATATGCTATACTAAGCTGTGCATTCAGTTCATTACTGACAAAAGATTTAATCAAAAAGTAAAACAGTATGTTGAGCATTTCAAAGGTTGTTTTTTTTTTTTTTTTAGTATTAGTACAGCAAATGAAATACTTTGGTATACTAAAACATCTATTCTTGGTGCTTGAATGGAATTGAAATATAATGTATTAATGAGAAAGTAGGCTTGGAGGGAAAGCATGGGACTTGGGTCAGCATCCTCACGTTACTGTTCAGACTCTGCTCTGGCTCCCTTATCTCTGTGGCAGCTGAAGGGAAGTGAGAAGATGTCTGCATTAGTACGGAGCATTCATTTGAGTCTTCGGGGCAACTGTTCATTACTTGTTATTAAGAAGTTGGGTAGTACAATAGTTTTCTTATCTACACAATGTTACTTTCTATGTATTTTTAGGTGCTATTTGCTTCTAGGAGCAGTTGCTTTGGGAATCCCCAAACTCTTCTGCTACCTCTCAGGAATTTCTGACTTCCTGAGCTTGCTGTTTTCTCACCTTTTTCTGAGGGCTGCAGTCATGCTTTGCAAAGTATGAGGCACAAAGTACTGGGCTGATCAAATGCATCGTTTGGTGTATGTCATCAGATAAATTGTACTGCCACGGATCCAATATGTAAGACTCTCTTGGCATTTTTCACAGCTGCAGCTGCTTTTCCATTAATGCGGAAAGGATGTGGTGTATTCAGAGCCTGCTGATGCTATGAACCGACAATTCTGGACATGCCAAGTGAGTTGATGTTGTGTGTGTATGTGTATAAAGTCTAGTATTTCACACTGACAAATGAAACTGAATATCCTATGAAAACACAACTGTAATTTAAGAAACCATTTCCCAGTTACCATCTGTCACAGACATTTGTAGTCTGATACACAGAAGTCCATGCTTGGTCTGATTCTTCCTTAAATCATAATATTATGGGGTTTTATTTTTTTCATGTGGGCTGTTTTTTTCCCCCCTTCTTGCCTGGGGTTCAGGATTCTGCAGCAAGACTGCAAGGCTTGTCTGGAGCTTGGGCTCTTTACTGCTTTTCCACGTGGGCACTAAGGATACTGCAGGGGAGACCTGGAGCATGTCCAGAGTGACTAGGTGACTTGGAGTGAGGACCCAGAGCATGATGGTGCAGGTGGGGTCTCCTTGACCCTACCAATGAGGGGTAAAAGCCAGAGGAGTGAATCTGGCTGCATCTGGCAAGGGATATCAAGGGCAACGAGAAAGGTTTCTAGAGATTTATATTAGCGTCTAGAGGAAGAGGAGGGAAGCGGGCTGCTGCTGAATGGGGCAGGCACAACCTGCCGTTTCTGCCCCTTGGTTCCGATAGTGGCAATGCTCTTTGTAAATGCCACCTTGCATTTCTCTGGTTTGGTTGGACACAAAGAAATCTGGCCTATATTTGCTGACAACAGCATTCTGCAGGTCAAATCACAGCGGTTTTCTTCCTCGTGCTTCACCTGCCAGAAATAGTTTTCAGTGTGTAAAAACTGAAAGAGCTTTGGGAAACAAGTTTTACCAGAACATCTTTGTTTTTTGCTAGATAATGAGATTATTTTTAGATACGTAGTGAGAGGGAAAAGATTTGTTTCTTGACTAACATCGACTAACAGTTCTTAGATCAGACTTTCCCCAAATTGTCCATTTAGATTCAGTCATCAAAGGAACTCTCACCTTCAGCATCTATTACCTAGCCTTGTAATAACCTCAAGTTAATTTAAGATAGTGTTCTGTAGATGGAGGAGAGAAGTAACAAACAGAAGCCCTCAGATATCTGTGAGGAGAGATCCATGGCTCCAATAAGAGGATGATTGTGGGGAGGGGAAGAATTTCACGGTGCCATTGAGGCCATGTGAAGAGAAATAGTGTGCTTTGAAGACAACCCTTCCAGCAGCAATATACTGAATGCCCTAGACAAGATGTTGACTGGACTTCTCTAACAGAGGAATTTTAGTAAAATCACTTTTGAATCCAAAGTCTTTAATCTAAAGTCAAAATAATTAGTCTTACATTTATATGCTACAGACTGTAGTCATATAAATGATACATTAAGAAAGTTTTCACCCAAGAATTTTGGGAAGCAAAATTGCACAGCCGAAAATTTTCACTTTTGGTTTCCTTTGACAGTTTCAGTAACTTCTTCAAAGATACTTAGATGAATACTTCGTTGTTGCATGTGTTTATTGCCATTTCTGTAAACAGCTTCTAGAGCTTTTAACTTTGCACTTAATTTAAATAGTCTTATAGCTCCGACTTCAAAGATTTGCTAAAAATAAAGCAACATAAATCCTCAACTACTTCTTGTGACATCTTCTTAGGTTCAATATGATATTTGAGAACTTCATCCAAGGAATAGGAAATCCAAGGAAATGTTTTAACTGAATCTAGAAGCTTCATGTCCAGAATATCCAGAGGTCATTTATCACTTTATCATCTTTGCACAGAGCCTTTATGGTGTCAGCAAGACACCAGTCAGTTGAGTGCTAGGTAAATATTTGCAACTCTCACTTTATCCACCAAAGAATTCAATGTGTTCTAACAATATTTGGACAAAAAAAAAAAAGTATGATTTTACATTGGGGAAAAAAAAAAGGCGATTTACTGTCTTCTTTAGTCTTGCTACTCATTAAGGTTAATGTATACCCAGGATAAAAAACACCCAGCATGCTCAGGTCAAATTATTTCCCCATATTTATGTAAATTCTAATACTTTTAATGTACTGCTCTATGACTGTCCTTACCAACTAAATCAGGATGCATCTTTTTTTCCATATCACTATGCTTGCAAGTTGATCAACTTTACAGGAAAGTCTATGGAAACACTTCCTATTGGCTTTTGTTTATATGTCACAGCAAAAAGAAAAGTTTAGTTGTCTGTATGCCATGCATTTGGAGCAGATATCCCACTAAGGGATTAATATTTTGTGAGTTGATTTATAATTTTCTATAGTTCAGAAAAAAAATGGAAGGATAGCAACAGAATATGAGGAGAGAGGTGTGAGCTTTTTCCACATTTCTGCTGGAGGGGAGCTTGTTCTTTAAGGAACAAGCTGGCTAACCAGTTCAAAAGGTTAACCAGTTCCCTATTTCCTACATATTTTTACTGTTATCCTGTATGGAATTGTCTCCCTGGGATTCACAGCTGAGGTGATAACTGGAGTAATTACTATTAACCCCTCTTGCCAGTGCTGTTCTTAGCTGCTAAACTGCTGTGTTGATTCTGAGTCAACTGGCCAAGTTTTCTTTTGTCAATACCAGTACATTAAGATACACCGTTCAGGGACCCCTTTTACACCCAGAAATGTGATTAGCTGTCTGAGCCCAGTCACTAAAGCCAATTATACAGCTTAAAAAAAAAGTGCATGAAAAGAACTGACATTCAAAGCGGTAAATTGACTTGTGGATGGTGAATATTCACCATTCAGAAATTCATCATGATGAGTTTATGTTTGAAAGCTGTTTACATTAAATACCTTGGGTTTGTTTTTTTTAACAACTGAATAAACATGGAAAGGCTTACTTAAATCCTAGTCCTCGTTCTGCTGATTTTAAGGGCTTTTAGCTACCCAATAGGAATGTAATTCATTGTTAATCATATACTACAAAGCTAGATTGACTGAAAAGCATGAAGATCCTGTTGTTTGGAATACTCCTGCAGTGTTTATTATAATGTCATTTTCTTTGCCTGTGCCAGTGTGTATCTTATGTAATTAATGACTTAAAGCTCTCCTTTCGTGCAAGGATTCATTTTTGCTCTGGTATGACTTGATATTTGTGCCTGAGGGGGCTTATTTTAATAAGCCGAAATGTTGCTGATTTGCTCACTTCTGTTAGATGCTTCATTTCACTGCTCCAATTTATCACTATGTCTGATCACATGTGAAGCTCAAACTGTTAACAACTTGAAGAGCATTGAAACAGTGCATTGGGAAGGTGTGGCTGCTGTTGCCAATATGCAATGGCAGCATGCAGAAGGTGTGTTCTGAATTGGGATAATTTGGCCTTGCAATAACCACAGTTGGTCTCTGAGCAGTCACATTTAATCTCCAAGTAGATAACGAGATAAGAGTCACTGTGTTCACTACCATGTATTGCTTCAGGTGTTGTTTCTCCCACTTTGTGCCTTGAAGGCACATGTCATTCATAGGTGGTGGTTGCGCTGGCAGCTAAGAGGCCTTTTAAACTTTACACCCTGAGGCTTAGTCCCAGTCTGGGTGGCTGATGCAGGAAGGTCCTGAAGCCTTTCAGTGCCAGCTCTCTGGTGAGTCTATCTGTGGTCTAGTATCATTATTAAAAGTGTGCAAGATATGTGGAAGGAGGTAGGAATGGTGAGGAGCATTTTTCCATGAGATTTTTAAGTGATTTTTTTTTTTTTTTTTTTTTCTTTAAAATAAAAAAAAAAAAAAAACCAAAGCTTTCCACCCAGAAAGACCAACCTTTGTGTGAAATGGAGCATTCCCACTGCCACTGCCTGGGTTTTGTCTGGAGTCCTGAGGGTTGCTTAATGGACAGGGTCTTCAGGATATGTGTTCAGAGGAGACTTTCCTCAGTCCTAATGGGAAGGAGGCAATAAAATATGCAGGAATTTGGTCTTGTCACTTCATGTGTGAGTAGCTCTTTGAGAAAAGTTCTTGTTCAAATGTGAGGCACTTTGACATAAGGCCACAGGCATATCCCTATAGAGGGATGTAATCTAACTTTCCTTGTGTTGCGTGCCCAGGGTTCAATCCTGCAACCTTTTGCTTATGTAAGTAATGTTTATTTACTTGAATTTGTCTTTATGGCACTGTGTGTGGAAGCAGGGAGAGCAGAACTTGACTTTTGGTGAGGCCGGCTGCTTTAGAGCAGGTAAGAGGGAGATTTGGCTAATGAAGAGCTCTTAAAAACGGATCTTAACATTTTGTCATTTTGTCAAAAAATAACAACTTAAATCGTGATTCACTTTAGGTATGAGTGACCAACAGGGGACAACACATCCACTACAAAAGAAATCTATTTCCAAGATGGCTTGCGCTCTGGATTGTGCCATAGGAGCACCAGTCATGGAGGGAAGATGTGACACCACCAGACACACGTTCCCTGGAAATTCCACCTTGGGGCTGTGTTTGGAAGCAGTGACGTTGACAGAATTAACCCTGGTTTCAATCAGCTCCAGCTAGATGGTGCAGTGGAAGGCATTAAAGCACTGAACTGGCTTTCTTTACTTGTGTTTGACAAACAGATTATTTCTTTTATTTGTTTCTTTTTTACCTCCTAGAATGAATTCTTCTTTAGTAATTATTCTTCTAAGGTGAGGCCTGGCTTTTGTGCAGCTCTTCTAGCTGCTCGGGTGGGTGGGGGATGTCTGTGGTTTGGGGCTGGTTTGTTTGCTTGTCCTGACTACACCAACCACACTCCCGAACGTGCCATTGCCGGGAGAAATAGCACCATAATTGTGAACCTGTCCATACAGTTAGTTTTCTAGCATAATGATCACATAGCGTGTATGTCTGACTTAGATAAAAATAGGAAAGCTACCATCCTAGGGGTTAATTAAAGCAGAACAGAGGTTTTGTTAGTGTGGGAATCTACTCATTGTACGTTGCGTTGTCTTCTGCGCCTCATAAAAGCCTGCCTGATGCGAACACCACTTCTACTTTAATTTTACTGTATTAAACAAGCGAGATTACGGATACAAGCACAGGCAAATCCTTTAGTCTGTATGCTGTTGTGCAGCCAAGAAGAGTGCCTAGGCCTCTATGAGTTGGCATGTTAAAGCCCTGCTTCAGGGAATGTAGGGAAACATGGGCAGTGCTCACCAGGCAGGAGAGCAAGGAAATGACCTAAGTGCCTTTTTTTTCCTAGTAGGCCAAGAAACTGGTCTTTTACTGGGATATCCGTGCTCCCTCTGGTGGACAATTTCTAATAATATCTTGGATTTTTTTTTTTTTTTTTAACAGTCGGAACCCATCCTCCAGTATGTGCAGGTGGTGAGGAGCAGCAGGCACTTGGAGCCAGCCCCTTCCAAGGGCACCTGGGAAAGATGCATGGCAAGTTGCAACAGGGAGCATTCTGATTCCACAAGGGAAAACCCACTCCGTGGTGGGAGAGGTTCCAGGGACCTCTGGAATATGTTGCCTGCAGAGACTGTGGGATCCTCGCCTTGAAGGTGTCACTGAGCAGCAAGCCCTTGAGCTACTGGATCTTGCTGAAACATTAGCCTTGCCTTGGGCTGGAGGACGGCGGCTTGTGACCTTCATGAGCCCTTTCGAATAACTTTATGCTCCGTGCAATGCCTTTGTAATGTGTCCAACAGGTACTCTTAAAAATGTTAAAACACGGTAGTTAAAATGTTTCTAAAGCTGTAGTTAAGAACAGAAGCTTTACAGCAGCAGTCATGAGGAAAGCAAACCGGCCGGCTATTCCTCCTTTATATTAGGGTGCTATTTGCTCTCCTGCTGTTCATTTTCTGAGCCTTTACTCAATATTTTGCAAGTAAAACCCTTTCTGCCTTCTTCAGTTCCATCCCATCTCAGCAGAGTAACATGTGACCCAACTTTATCTTTTACTGAGCACTAAATTTGGTTAGATTACTGTGGGATAAAACCTGCCAAATTGACCAAAGCATGATGAGAGATATAATGTGTATTGGTTGCTCAGGCGGTATGACCTGTGCTCATATGCTCTAAAAGAATTGTTATTTTCTTCATCCCTCCAGAGTCTACCCTTGCTTTCGTTGAAATGCTGCTACTCAATCCATAGGAATGGCATTAGCCTATGTTTGTGACCCCCTCAAAAATCTCATGACCTTGTATTAGTTATTTAAAGAGCCCATGATTGATGTGCTGTAGTTTCACAAAGCATCCGTGCTTTAGGGGTATGTGTTTTTGCAAGTTATCAGGAGTTAGGACCAAGGAGTTAGGATCAAGAGTTAGAGGGGTGACCCATACAGACACAACCTGGCTTGCAATATTCTCCTACTATATTTTCCCCTTCCTCTCTCTCTGAGTAAATGGAGACTTTGCATTTGGTGAACTCTTCACAAATTCATCCGGAATTTTTACACTGTAGTCAAACATTTCATTGAGAATTCCTTGCCAACTTCAAATAAATTAGTAAAAACAATAGCTCTACTGAAACTGGTTATTTGGTGCCCCCTGGTGTTTCAAGGATCAGCCCAAGGAGAGGGATGTGCCAGCAGAGGGACACTCTCGCCCACGTTTATGGGTACCAGCAATATTCCTTGTGCACGCAGTAAACTTGTGCTGCTGGTGGGAAAAGGCACAAAAAGCCAAGAACTGTTATTTCTGCAAGCTGGCTAAGCTAGAGCCCCCTTGGGAGAGGGGATAACGCTCGTGGAAATTCCCTGGGATAGACGGCAGAGGGCATGAACGAATTCCGTAATCGCTGTGCTTGCCTTTCCAACAAAACTCCCCATCTCCGTGTACCAAAGCACAATTTTCTTTTAAACTTCAACTACGTTACAACTATGTTTCTTTTTAAATAATGCATGCTTTTCTTTCAGAAAATCAAGTTAATAAAATATTGCTTAGTAAAGCCAGATCTAGTCTGATTGAGATGAGGTGGAAATGCATGGAGCAGAATACCGAAATTTAGACATTACTGAACAAGCCTGAGCTTTGTGAAGAGTTAAAGCAGTTTTTGCCCCCACTTTTGCTATTTGGTTATGGCAAAGTGCAGCTGAGACATCTTTTTGATGGGAGTTTTGCTTATTTTACCGGACCCAATGGACTACCCTTTTAAAGGTATAAGATTGATTAAAAGAAATTGCTCGGCTACCCTAATACTTTATAGGCTTGCTTCACTCTTGTACTATTTAATTTCTGATAGGCAACTCAGTCCTGGACTAATTTACTCCTGGCGTGACGCCTGCTATGTAACATGTCAAGGTGCAATATATAGTAACTGCAGTTGGACGGAGGAGCGCAGGTCAGCACACATTTCACACCCTTCTTTTTACTACTGGAGTCATGGGGTAAAGTCTACCCTTTTGCCAACTTTGGTGAAGGTGTAAATGCACATGCACAGTGTAATGGCTTTAAATCTTGGATTCCTACTTGTATGCGCCAGATGGATCTTGTATAAAAGTTCCACTTTACAGCATGTTAGCATTTGCTAGTAGTTAGCTGAAGGTTATAGCTGCCAGATTTTTCTCTAGCAGTTTCCAGGCAAAAAAAAAAAAAAAAAAAAAAAAAAAAAAAAAAAAAAAAAAAAAAAAAAAAAAATCCCAAAACAACAACGAAAAAAACCCAAAACACAAAACAATCTCACACGTGAGAAGGATGAGAAGGATTATTTCAGTAACAGATGAAAATAATTTTAAGAATTGTATGTGCTTGTATTTTTTCTTGAACTGTGTTTGAGTTGTCTAATATTAACTTGTACTACATCAGGTATATGAATCCAAGAATTATTCGGGAAAACTGTCTCTTATCAATAACAATTTTATGTCTTCTAAATGGTAGTGTCTTATGCGCAGGATTAGGGTTATTTTAGGAAATTCTATATATAGCTCTATATCTGTGGAATGTTTTTTTTTCTTTTGTTTAAAACAAGCTAGGAACCCATATAGATTAATGAAATTTTTTAATTCAACAATATGGGGCAAAACTTGTTTTTTTTTTTTTAGCATATGCACCACGTATGAAATACATCTGTACTGTCTGTGTTTGCTAAGCGGTTTCTGCCTTTACTTACCAGAAGAAAGATTGTTACAGACTATAACTTTAAGACATAACAATATGTATTTTAGTAGGCTGTTAATTCTTGCCTCAAGTTCAACTTTGCTCTTTTATATACCTGAGGTGTATATTAATGGCCCAGTAAAATACATTCTGGAGTGCCTGCAATTCATATTTCTTCTATTTTTTGAAAAAAAAAAACTTAATTGGTAGGAAAAAAAAGACAAAGAGATGTTCAAAAATGCAGAGAAAAATATTCGTCAGTTTTTGGATGCATATTTTTAAAGCCTATAATATTAAGTGGGTAAATTATTAAAAATGGAAAAATGGAAATAAACAGGCTTAGCTCTCTTCTTTCTTTTTCTTTCTTTCTGTTGCCTCTTTGTGTCTCTCTCTCCTACCCCATGTCTCATGTCTCCTACCCCAACCACCAGGCACGACAACTTTAATTTAATTAAGCAAGGCTTAATTCAAATCTTTAGGTTTCCTGGCTCTACTGGAAACTTTGAACATGCTTATAGGGAAAGATGAAGTGTCTGTGGCCGTTGTCCAAGCCCCACGGAGATCCAGGGCATGGTGGCACCTAGACTGTCCTCACCACCTCACAGAGGTCCTGCCAGAGCCCTCCCCTCTGGATACGGATGGTAGAGAGGCTCCATGGGCTCAGAGAGCAGCCGTGACCAATTCTTCTCCCTGGGAACGTGGGGAGGAACATGGGAGCAGTCTGCGATAGCGCGCGGCGCACTGGAAATCCTGCTCTGGGGCGGTGAGTCAGTGCAGGACTGCACACGTGCCCAGTTTTATGTACTGTGAATAGTCCCTCTGAAACCACTTGTTCAAAATTAAGCAGGTTCTTATATACTTTGCTGGATTAGGCTGGCAAAATCTATTTCTACCTCTGATAAATGCAGATAGCACTGCTGAGGGCAAGGGACCCTCAAGAGGTAAGAGGAGGCCATAGCAGAGAGGGGTTTTTTTCTCTACAAAAGTAAGCCCTGCCTTTCATTTCAAGGGAAAATACTGCTGCTGCTGTCTTTAACATCACATACGGATTTGTGCAGTGCTTATAGCTGATAATGTCTCATTTTAAAAAAAGTACTGAAAGTTGTCTGAATGTTTAATAGTTGCACTTTCCACTTTTATTTCCAAAGCCCTTTTCCAGAAAAGCGAATAGTTACCAATAGCTCTAATTGTCAGTACGATCATTAAGGTTTGCCTTGGGTCGGCCTTTCACTCTGCCAAAGGATTATTAAGCACAGGATTAAGAGGCTGTTGCTAGCCTTAGCTTTGGGTTCATGAGACACTGCTGCTCACAAATAGTGCGCGTTTTGTTTAAGCTAGATTCAGTAGTGGAACATTTTTGAAAAACATTAATTAGCAACTGACTTTCAAAGAGGCTTGAAGTCTAATTGGATTATCTGCTTCCCATTGAATTTGGAGGACACAGGCTTCTGCTTGTCTCACATTGCCATCAGATCTCTTCCTGCTTCTTTTAATAGAGAGGTATTGTTGGCCTACTGTAGTCCGAGGGCTGCGTCCCGTTGTCCTGTGAGGTCTTGTGTTCGCTCATACTCCCAGGCTTAGGATCATTACTGGAATGCTTAGTGGAACATTTTAATACTTGGAAGTATTCACTTCTGAGCTCACCGGGTATTTTATTTCTGCTCTTTTGTCCAAAATTGATACATATACCAAAAAGAGAGCTTTAAAAACCCTTTTGATGCGGGCTGCTAAAAGCTTATTTACCATATAAATGGTAAAACTGAAATGTGTGCCTTGTACTGTGACATGCTCGGTTTGCAGGTGTATTTTACTGATAAAAAAAAATCTTCCCTGGCTGTTGAATTTATGGCTGAGATAGCCAGATTACTAGAAACACTTGTGTATTTAATCTTCCCATAGCCTTTTCATGTTTTGAACTAGAGTAGGTAGGGCAAGAGTGTTACCCAAGTAAAATGCAGTTGTATTGCTTTTTATTTTGTGGACATTGTAAATTCTGTTACAGAAAATTTAATAAAGAAGAAGCTTAAACAAAAAGAATGGCTGTGTGAAATTGCAAAATTTCCATTAGGTAAAAACAAATCCTAACTTTATGTACATTTCTCTGGAGACATGTAATGTGAATGCTTACAGCTGCTTTTAGTTTCTTATTCCCTGATTTGGTTTAAATTAAAGGAAAGATGTCATATTGAATTATGAAGAATTACTTATTTTACATATTTTGATTTGTATATACCTTCTATCACACTCTCTCTGTGGCATTTGCGAGGACATATTTAACACATATAATAATAACACGAATAATATTAAAAGAAGACTGACTGCAGTGTAATGGTTCTGACAGACAAATGCATGTGATTCCTGTGTCTCCCTCCCCAGCACCTTGATATCCTACAAATGAAGGATGAACTAACCCACTGTACTCAAAGGGTCCTCCTCTTCAAGATGGATAGATGTGCTGGACAGATGGACATCTCCTGGCTATGTCCTGGGGAAATCTGCCCTCAAGCCCCTTATGGTGCTCATGTTCAAGGACTCAAAACTCAAGACCCTCCACTGACGCCAAGGTCCTCAAGAAAGACAAATTTTTGTGCTCTGAACAATACCTGGAGCTGATGGAGTGAGAAGTGAGGGGAGGAAGTTGCGTGGCTGGTCATCCCATTTCTGAGTGTTGGCTCTTGAGTTATGGCTGTTTTCCATAAGCATCCGGGCGATCCAGCAGCCCAAAGTTTTGAAATCCGGTGTCCAGGGAGATTTACGTTGGTATTCCAAAGATAAATGCTTTCTTGATAGGAAAAAAAACAGTCCTCTAAGACTTAATCAGGTATTTGCAGCAATGCAGTGTGGCTTTGGTCCTGCTGTGTATGTCTTTGGTCCTGCTACCAATTCAAAGGTACACTCAAAGATCAATAGATCAGTTTTTAAGTATTCCATGGGATGCTTGGACTCTTGAGTATTTTCCTTACAATTATTGACTTGACAGGGAGTCACAAACCAGAAAAGATTCTTTGATTAAAAACTACTCTGATAAATACTTATTCTACATACAAACACATACAGTTTTTAAATACAAGGCAGAGTAGAAATAAAAAGAGTAAAACCAGTGTTTGGGGGCAGGAAGAGTGTTAATTTGAGCTTCTGGGCACCTTGGTGAGCAGCACCTCTTCAGTGTGTGTACCTCAGCCTCCACTGCAGTCCCAAATGCTTGTACCTGCCCCAAAAATGCAGCAGGATCTGATAGTGGAGGCAGTGTTGAGTTTATAGGCAGTAGGAACAAGTGTCATAAAGGAATGTTGGGCTGAGAGAGAGCATCTTGCACAGCATCTGTAGCATAGAAGCTTTGAAAAAAGCTCCTGCAGAAGAGGTAATGGATACTTCTTTTTTTTCTTTAAAAATATTTTTAACTAGTAACTGGAATTCATTGGCACTTTTTCTTGTTTTCTTTCTTACTATATGAATATTTATGACTTGTTGCAACTTCCATTGTCTGTTTTCAACCAGAATATTTATACATATCTGTGGTGTTCTGAGCAAATAAGATACCCCTGAACAATGCTGTTTTATAAGCCAACCTTCCCACTATTTTATTTTAGTGCTAGAAAA